ATATATATATATATATATAAATCAGAGCTATTTATTATTTTAACAATAGATGGGATGGCGCTATTCTTATATCTATCAGTGCAGGGTCTTATGGGCTGAATTTTATTGTTGTGGTGGACTGCGCGAGGTGGGCGGGGTGCAGGTGGCAGTAGGTGGCAATGACGAGGATGGTGCACTAGTCCACCACCAAACCTGCTAGTGCGTGGTGGTGGAGGTCACGAAGGGATGGCATTTCCAGGGTGGAAAGAGCGTTGTTGTAGCCGGAGTAGTCTGCGCCGAGCATGATTCTGCAGGCCATCTTCTGTACCTTCTCTAGTTGACGTTGTTGGGTAGAGTTGAGAGAAGATGACCAGGCTGGTGACGCATACGTTAATTCTGGGAGTATAAATGCGTTGTAGATAGTCCTCAGCTCTGGTGTGGGTGCCCCAAGTGACCTGAGTCGTTGTAGTATGCAGAGTCGGTACGAGGCTGCCTTGATTGTGTTGTTTACATGGGCCTTCCAGTCCAGTTTATGGTCTATAGTTACACTCAGGAGTTTGGCAGACTGCACTAACTGGAGAGGATGGGCACCCAATGTAATTGCTGGAGCTTGCACTGGAGTGGTGGCGGTGTTGATGTGCATGACTACGGTTTTGGTGTAATTGATGGTGACCTTGTTCTCCGTAGTCCCTGCCTGTAACATGTCCAGGGTGCCATGTAGCTTTGAGTAGTCCGGTGAGGTGTTGTCCACTGCCCCCCACCCCCCAGTGCAGTCATCCACGTGCTTCCACCTGTGAGGAGTGTCAGATAGAGCGTCGTTGATCATGATTAGGAAGCACAGTGATCCCATCTTGATCCCCTGGGGAGCACCGCAGGTGAGGTGTTGGAATGTGGAGACAGAACCCTGGTACCTCACTGCCTGACAACGATCACTCAGGAAATCAGTGAGCCATGAGACCAGGTTGGTGGGCAGCCCTAGTGCAATGGCCTTTTTTATAGTAGTGCAGTGATCAACAAGGCCAAAAGCCTTCCTGAAGTCAACAAGGCAACGGCCAGTGATGTCTTACGTGCAGAAAACTCAGCAGTGTGATGTGGAGGAGGTCCTCATATTGTCAAATTGCTGTGGATCAATTGACTGATAAATTCTAGCAAATGCCCACTCAAAAACAAAGTCTTCACAGAGTAGACTGGGTATGGGGATAATGGCAACTGGCCTGAGGTCATTAGGGGACTGTGGGGTGGTGACCTGGAGGATAGGGGTGACAAATGAGGTTTTCCATTCATTAGGGCATTTGCTTTGTCTGAGGGATGCATTAATAATAGAAAAGAGGGGGGTGGCAAGTTCGACTACAAACTCCTTGTATATTTTGATTGGGTGGTCAATTGGGGTCGTGGAGCTTTTGGATTTAAATTACAGGAGTTTGTTGGCGATTTCAAATGATTGAACACTGGGGTGGGGGATAATTAGGCCTGGAGGTTAGTGAGGTCAAGACTGGGTAGGGTGTGACATATGGCAGCAAAGTGCTATTAAGTGTGTGTGTGTGTGTGTGTGTGTCATGTAGATCCAAATGGAAACGCGTGTGATTTTAGCGATACATATATATATATATATATATATATATATATATATATATATATATATATATATATATATATATATATATATATATATATATATATATATATATATATATATATATATATATATATATATATATATATATATGCGATTCGAAAAGTTACCTCAAGAACTATAGTAATCCACGATTCCAAATTAGGCTTAGGTGTACTAAACTGCCTACACACCATAAACCCATCTTAAGATCGTCACAGCACCTCGTGGAACATAAAACCCAACTTCAACTCCCAACACATAGTATACCCAAGTTATTTTACACACCGTAGTGTAAGTCTGGTTATTTACACACACACACACACACACACTACAGTATATTAAATTAGCTGTAACCACGTGTGTGTGGTGGGGGGAGTTTGCAAGACTACGTAATCTTTCCCATTATAGGCTAAGTAAGTACCAAAGAGAAAGTGAAAATTACACCCACACTCGCCCCCTAAAATGCAACGCCGCCACTGCCCTCACCCCTGCCGCCGTCGTAAGCGTAATAGACGATGCTGTGTATATTTTGTGTTAATGGTGGGAGGAATAGAGGAGTAGGGAGTGTGAGGATGGAGGGGAATGGAAGGAGGGGGTGGGAGAAGAGGGGTTAAGGAGGGGTTGGAGAGGAGGGGGTAGGAGGGGTGAGTATTTTTATGTAGCAGCTGAGAAAATGGCTGAACTATAGTAACCTTAGATTTTGGGGCGAAGAATGAGGGGTCAGGGAGAGGAAGAGAGGGGGAGATTGTTAGATGAGGAGGGGAAGGGAGGAGGGAGGAGAGGTCAAGGATGTTGTAGAGGAGATAAAGTAACGGGAGAAGGAAAGAGAGAAAAAGAGGAACAAAGGATAGGAAAAGGGGAGGCATGGGGGAAAAGGGAGCGGAATGGTGAAAGTGGAGGGAGGGAAGGAAGGGGAGAGAGAGGGGGAGGGGCGGAAGAGGGGATGAAAGGAGGGCTAGAGAGAGGAAGGAAAGGAGGGAGGGAAGGAGAGAGAGAGGGAGGGAAAAAGGGAATACCTAGGTTTTATTACATTAGACAAGTCATTCAATTCTTACATTTGATGAACACAAAAAGGCGACAGAGTAGTCAGGTGATATTTACACACACACACACACACACACACACACACATTCTTCGTCTCACACCTTCCCCCTCACACCGCTGGAGAGAAAAAAAAATTCCCTAATCGTGTTTACCTGTAACCCTTTCACCCATTACTATCTGTACACGACCCTTCCCCTTAACAATTCTATTAGCTCACCACCCTTTTCTTACATCTCTCTCCCCTCTTTATTACATCTGCTTCCTCTTCCCCTCTGCCTCATATTTCTTTTTTCCTGTTTTTTATTTTGGATTCTTGTATTTCTCGTTTTGAATATGAAAGTGACATCACCTCTCAAAAATTAAGGTAATGGGAGGGTCATGTGTGGAGGTGATGGTGATGGCGGTGATGGTGGTAGTGGTGGTGGTGGTGGGGGGTGGTGGTGGAGTGGGGGATGGTGGTGGTGGAGTGGTGGTGGTGGTGGTGGTGTGGGAGATGGTGGTGTGGGGAATGGTGGTGGTGGTGGTGGTGGTGGTAGTGCCATGACACACACACACACACACACACACACACACTCACACAGACTTCCTTAGTGACCGACGCCAAGCCGTACGCTTCCGAGGGGCAGTCTCCACTTTTCAGTCACTTACCTGCTGCGTCCCCCAAGGCACCAAGATGGGACCGCTCTGCTTCCTTGTGCTTATTAATGATGTTCTAAGAGAAACCCTTGCTCGCTGGAAATATGTCGAGGACACGGCTCCCGACTACACCGCCCTCCAGGATTTATTGAACAGTCTCCAAAATTGGGCCAACAGCAACCATATCACCATCAACCACACCAAGACCATGGTTCTGCACATCAACCTCTCCTCCGACGTTGTCCCACCCCCTTCCATTACTTTAGGCTCTAACACACTCCAGGTTGTATACTCCACTAAGCTCCTCGGCGTCACTATAGATAACAAACTAAATTGGAAAATTCACGTCAGTGAAGTTATCAAATCCTCCATTTTTTGTCTCAAGTCCCTCGGCGTTCCTGCACCCGAGCTCTTCAGTGTTTACTCAACATTCAAACTCCCCTGCCTGGCCTTCCTTCCTAAATGCCAAACAACGTAAACACCTAGAAAAAGTGCAAAATCGGGCGTTCAAGATTATTCTCTCCACTTCCTACTCCGCATATCAAGAAGCGCTCAACACACTGACCCTCTCGGCTTTCTCTGATCATCACCACGACCTCATCTGCAAATTTGTTGAGAAGCTTCTGCACCATCCTCGATACCGGCTCCTACTTCCACCCGAGATCCCTCGTCCGCGAATTGCTGTTCGACACCACAACCACACCCAGCCCACACGAGCACGTACTGATAACTATAAGAACAGACCAGTTCCAACCATTGTAAAAATTATCAACAACTCGTAATCAACCAGTGTATTCACTCCCAGTCAATCTTACCTTTTTGCTCTCTCACTATGTTGAAATGCCCTATAGTATGACCTTCTCCCCATCTAGTTATTATATATCATATTTGTATCACGTATGTTACTTGTATATTATTTGTTAATCAAGTGACCCATTCCCAAAACATGTGATTGTATATTTTCAGCCTTCCGGCTGCCATGCTCTTTCAATAAACCGTTAATTATTACGTATTATTATTATTGTTATTACACACACACACACACACACACACACACACACATACACACACAGTATTGAAACATCGTTGAACTCCTGATATGACCTCCACTGATTTGCCTCACCTGATGACATCCACTGATATGACATCCCCTGATATGACTTCCACTGATATGACATCCCCTGATATGACTTCCACTGATGACCTACCATGATATGACATTTACTGATATGACCTTCCCTGATATGACTTCCTATGTTATAACCTTCCCTGATATGTATTCTTCTAATGTGACCTCTCTTTGAGGTGACCTCCCCTGATATGACTTCCCGTGATATGACCTCGACTGATATGACCTACCCTGATATGACTGCCTCTGATATGACCTCCACTGATATGACCTCCACTGATGTGACCTCCACTAATATAACCTCTCCTGATATGACCTCCACTGATATGACCACTGATATGACCTCCACTGATATGACCGACGTAAGGTTAGTCACTGATTTGATTATGTTTCTTAATATGTCTCAAGGGAGGTCTATCAGTATGTGTCTCAGTGGGACATGTGTCATTCACCTGTCTGTAAGTGATAGAGACAAGGTAGAGAAACCTATGGAATGATAGAGAAAATGAGATAAAGTTAAAGAGAGAAAGAGGGGAGAGACATAGACGGGGGGAAGAGAGAAGCATTGACCCACCTAACCACATCTGTTTTTTGCAGACAGAGAAGTCGTCGCGCAAGACCGTGAGTAAGTTGATGTTGTCGGCGGTGAATGAGGGCGACACAGGAGAATACAGCTGTAGTCCCACCGACCTACAGCCCTCTGTTATCACCGTGCATGTTCAGGACGGTACGTGTTTGTTTTGGTATATTTATATAAAGTCTAAACAAAACATTTACTGCGAAAAAGAGTCATTTCAACGCTTTTTCTCCGTTTTTTTTTATTCCTACAACATCTTACAGAAAACGGATCTGCAGTTCAATTTTGAGGTGTGATGTCTTGTTTTGGTTATATGGTGAATGTGAGTAACTTTACCTGTCATGAATTTCTATAGTTTCATGTGGAGTTTTAAGATTATTTTGAATATATTGATATATTGGTAGTGTATATCTTTTGTAAGGTGGGAAGAGTGAACAGGGTGGTGGTAGTAGTAGTAGTAGTAAATAAATGGTGGCGAAGGTGTGGCTATTGGGGGAGGCTGGAGGCCACGTTAAAAAAAAAAAAAAAAGTAGTAGTAGTAGTAGTAGTAGTAGTAATGTATGCAATTGGCCTATCAGTGCTCCAACAAGAAATAAAATTTGAAACAACTGGGGTCAAACAAGTGGCATATGCGATGACCTTACAGGAGCAGGAAAAGTGGAGGACATCAAAAAGTGGTGGGACATGGTAACATCGCGAGGTCCACAAATAGGGTACCACCCAAACGCCAGCAAGTCCTTCCTCATCGTGAAGCCAGAACATTATGAACGGGCATTGGAGGTTTTTGGCGGAAGTGAGGTCAAAATAACTAAGGACGGCCAAAGACATCTAGGCGCAGTAATTGGCACTACGGACTTCAAGACCGAGTACGTAGCGGGAAAGGTGAATGAGTGGGTTAGTGAAATCCAAGCTCTGTCTGAGATTGCTAACACAGAGCCATATGCGGCCTTTGCTGCATTCACCCATGGGGTCAAGCATCGTTGGAACTACCTGATGCGTACTATCCCTGAAATCGGACTCCTCCTCCACCCTCTGGAAGAAGCTATCAGTGTCAATTTCATTCCCAAATTAGTGAAACACCCTGACTTAACCCCAGCAGAAAAAGCACTTCTTGCACTTCCACCAAGACTGGGAGGGATGGGACTAACAAATCCAGAGGAGATTGCTGCCACTGAACATCAAAATTCACTAAAGCTCACGGCAGCCCTCACGGACCACATAATAGCCCAGAATGCAACAGGGGAAGTGGATACCAGCGAAGTAAATAAGATTCGTAGGTCCATTACGACAGATCGACAGCACTGCCAAAATGATATGTTGCAGCAACTATTGCTGCAGGTTCCAGAAAATTTGAAAAAAAAAGTAGCTATAGCGCAGGAGGTGGGCGCCTCGAACTGGTTAACTACGTTACCGATAAGGGCAAATGGTTTCAGTCTTAATAAACAAGAATTTACAGATGCCATTGCTCTAAGGTACGGTTGGCCAGTAGAAGGTTTGCCCTCCCAATGCGTGTGTGGCTCTTCCTATGATGGCGATCACGCCATGGTGTGCAAGAAGGGGGGCTTCATATGCATGAGGCATGACGAGGTAAGGGATCTCACAGCAAATATGTTGAAGGAAATCTGCCGGGACGTCATGGTAGAACCGACCCTCCTTCCATTGGATGGCGAGATCTTCCAACACAGGACTTCAAACACATCTAACGAAGCCCGTGTGGACGTCAGTGCTCGAGGATTCTGGACGCGGGGACAGCGAGCTTTCTTCGACATCAGGATTTTTGATCCCATGGCCGCATGTCACCGTAACCTAGCTCTCGATGCTGCACATAGGAGGAACGAGAACGACAAGAGAAGGGCATATGGGGAGAGAATTCAAAACGTTGATCAAGGCAGCTCCACTCCTCTAGTGTTCACAACCTCTGGTGGGATGGGCCCAAGTGCAAGATGTTTCTACGCCAGACTCTCGGAGTTGATCTCTGAACAGAAGCAGCAGCCCAGAAGTTATGTTACAGCCTGGATGAGATGTCGACTGTCTTTCTCTCTCCTTCGGTCGGCTTTGCTCTGCCTCAGGGGAACGAGAGCTTCTGCCCCTACTCCGACAACTGCTGCAGATTGACTATGAGGCTACAGTCACTGAATGCCGCATAGATCTGCGGCTCAACTAATTTAACACAGATAGGATAGCTTCTTATGTATTAGGATATTTAATATTAAGGTAAATAAATGGTGGCGAAGGTGTGGCTATTGGGGGAGGCTGGAGGCCACGATTAAAAAAAAAAAAGTAGTAGTAGTAGTAGTAATAGTAGTTTTAGTGGGATTTATAGTTGCAGTAGTTGTGGTAGTGGTGGTGATAGTGATTAAGGAACCACATTAGAGCATCACAGTGGTATGATATTGTTGTTCTTTCTTAAAGTTTGCATAAAGAAACCCTCAGTAGTAAAAAATACTTTTATGTCTAAAAATCAATGAAATGCCACCTTTGATAGTCATTATATGGAGAGTACTTACCGTATGTGTGTTGTGACGCCAGGCGAGGTCAAGTGGTCCGCCCACCCGGCTGACCAAGGTGCTGGGGGAGGACGCGGGTATCACAGTGCCTCATGGCCGATGTGTGACCCCCATCCGGCACCACTCAAAGTTAAGTACTTGCTCCAGGAACCCGCTATTCCTCTCACCAGGAGCAGGCATGGGCAGTGACCCCCATCCTCCGTCCCCGAGTGTGTGCGTGTGTGTGCTGTGCCATTTTCAAGGAACGATAAGTGTTCCCCATGATGCTGTGTTACACTCTACAAGTGAGGACAGCCAGCAATCCATCCTTGCGTGTGTGCTGTCATGCATCGGGGCAGTGATCCCTGTGTGTTGTGTCGTACCTCGGGGCAGTGATCCCTGTGTGGTGTGTCGTACCTCGGGCAATGACCCCTGTGTGTTGTGTTGTACCTCGGGGCAGTGACCCCTGTGTGTTGTGTCGTACCTCGGGGCAGTGACCCCTGTGTGTTGTGTCGTACCTCGAGGCAGTGACCCTGTGTGTGGTCTGTCGGGGCAGTGATCCCTGTGTGTTGTGTCGTACCTCGAGGCAGTGATCCCTGTGTGGTGTGTCGTACCTCGGGCAATGACCCCTGTGAGTTGTGTTGTACCTCGGGGCAGTGACCGCAGTGTGGTGTGTCGTACCTCGGGGCAGTGACCCCTGTGTGTTGTGTCACATCCTAGATACCCTTGTCTGCTGTGTCACCTTGAAGACCATAAACTGCAGGCAGACCAGTGCACATTTGTGCTGTGTCACACCTCAGCGATCTTTGTATGCTATGATCTACTTCGTATCAGTGGTCTTTCACCTTTCTGTGCTGTGTCACGGCTCAAAGACCTAAAAACACAGAAGGTCAATGATTCCTATGTGAAGTGTCTCAGTTGCAAACGAAGCATAGAAGATACATCCTAGCTGACGACAAAACATTACCTCACCTTGGCTGAGAATTAGATCAAACTCCAGAGGGTCAGTAACGGTCTACATCCAGGGCTGTGCAAACTGCGGCCCTTGAAGCTTTTTTAATGCGGCCCTTGAAGCTTTTCAATGAATCCCTCGAAGCTTTTTAATGCGACCCACTTTTGAAATTACCATGAACCCTGTCTGCGGCCCCCCACACCCAAGGGGGCAGATTATCCACAACTTTCTGCTCACGCACAAAAAATGTTGTCACTGTTTGGAAGTAGTCTCCCTCACTAGTGCGTTTACAGGGGCTCATCATGTTTTGTGCAGTGTGGCATGGCTGAATTTGATTAATTATAGGAAACTCGCAATTTCAAACATACTATGGAATCAAAGTACAAAAATATTAAAACAAATACAGTATATCAATGTAAAGATTTGTGGAATGTTAATATGTTTAATAGGAAATGTATTAAATAGACTGTTATTAGATCGTATCTTTTGCCTAGTGGACGGTGGTATAGCGAGGTGAGGTGAAGCAAAGAGAATGTGGGGTGGAAGGAGGGACAGTAGGGAGGGAAGTGGAGGCGGGTGCTCTTCTACCGACAGTAATCCGTGAATGATGAACTATTAACACTCACTTGAAGCTTAATTTTATTTCTATTATTTTCCTCGCGTGCTGTATTTTTAGTATTTTTCTATGAGAAATAACCCACCAGTGCACAGGTCATCGACTCGCAACGGGGAATGGGGGGCGAAAATTTCAGAGCAAAAAGAAATAAAAAATAGAAGAGAAAAAGACTATATTAATCTACAACACGAAGATGCCTGAAAAACCAGCATTTTGAAGTGAGACAGATTGTAAGAGTATGGAAACACAGAAGAAGGCCGAGCATTTCACAATTTGGCTGTGTGAGGAAAGAAGGATGTACTATAACGGGTTGTTTTAGTGTGACCGACATCCACACAGAAGCGGTGGGCACCGTTGGGATATGAACCCCATAGAAAATCTTTGGGGTTCTATCGTTAATACCTGGGAGCCGGTGAGGGAAGGGACCACACAAAGACTGAGTGGGAGTTATTCCGGGCAGCTACCAAACAGGGAGGTACTACCGCCTGGGAAGCATAATGTATTGTCTAATGGTAGACCCTGCTACCATATGGCATAACAAAAATTGTGACCTAGTCCAGGTTAATGATCTGACTATCTGCCTCATTTACACACAATTGTAGTTTCAATTGTTTCTCTAACTTTGACAATACAACATACATACTGTCGTTTCTCTCTATTTATTTTTTTATATATTATTTATGGTGCTTCATTGATATTAGTATTATATTTATTATCATTCATCATCATCATCATCATCTTTGTTATTATTATTATTATTATTATTATTATTATTATTATTATTATTATTATTATTATTATTATTATTATTATTATTATTATTATTATTATTATTATTATTATTATTATTATTATTATATTTTTGTCCCGGCCCTGATGTGGGTCATTAACCAGTGCCCCTGGTGGGTTAATCCCGTAACAAAAAAAAAATGGTGAGGAACTACGGTGTCTCTATGCCAGAACGACTGCAGGAGGTAATAGAAAACGAGGGTGGCTGAACTAGGTTTTAAAACTACCAAATGTGAGTTAGAAAAAGTCTTCCATGATTATTTTGTAGTTTTAAACTTGAATGTCTCCTCTATTTAATAAGTTGTATTAAAGATGTTTGTGTGAAATAATTTTTATCGATATTCTTATCAAAATTTCACGAGCTGAAGGAGTATCCTAGTTGTTGTCAGGTACTACAGTATATATTTTCTTTCGTAAAGAGTTATCTAATCGTCTATCAGTTGCATTCATGGACAAGGGAGGCTAAGGCCACTTGGGGTGCATGTCTGCTGTGTGGTGGGAGGCGGGCGAGGTGTTGTGAGAAAGAAGGCCGCTGTTAATTCATACCATTGTTGAATAACATAATATATTATAATGTTGATATTTTACCTGTCTTTAATTAGTAAAGTAAGAAAATATTGTAAAGGTGTGAAAAGGTTAGTGCCTGTGTGTGTGTGTGTGTGTGTAATAATAATAAATAATAATAATAATAATTAGCGGGTTATTGAAAGAGCATGGCAGCCGGAAGGCTGAAGATATACAGTTTCATAATTGGGGAATGGGTCTCTTGATTGACAAATAATATACAAGTAACATATGTGATACAAATATGAAATATAATAACTAGGTGATAGTGCAAAAAGGTAAGATTGATTGGGAGTGAATACACTGGTTGATTACGAGTTGTTGATAATTTTTACAATGGTTGGGACTGGGCTGTTCTTATAACGACCAGTGCGTGCCCATATGGGCTGGATGCGGTTGTGGTGTCGAACAGCAATTCGCGGGCGAGGGATCTCGGAACCGGTGTCGAGTATGGTGCAGAAGCTTCTCACCAAATTTGCAGATGAGGTCGTGGTGATGGTCAAAGAGAGCCGAGAGGGTTAGTGTGTTGAGCGCTTCTTGATATGTGGAGTAGGAAGGGGAGAGAATAATCTTGCATGCCCGCTTTTGCACTTTTTCTAGGTGTTTACGTTGTGTGGCATTTAGGGAAGAAGACCAGGCAGGGTAGGCATAGGTGAGCTTGGGAAGTATGAATGTTGAGTAAACACCGAGGAGGTCGGACGGAGTAACTCCAAGGGACTTGAGTTGGCGGAGGAGGTGGAGACGGAAACTGGAGGATTTGACAACCTCACTGACGTGTGTTTCCAATTTAGTTTGTTATCTATAGTGACACCGAGAAGCTTAGTGGAGTCTACAACCTGGAGTGTGTTGAGGCTGTTCAATAAGTCCTGGAGGGCGGTATAGTCGGGAGCCAAGTTATTGACACTGATCCCAATGGCGTGTGTGTGTGTGTGGTCGATTTGGAACATAAACTGTCGTACCGTAGTCAATGATTATTATCTTATATTGTTCATTGTGTATTAAATTGAAAATTCGTTATATACGCCATTCATCACCACGACACAATGATTAGATCAAAATACTAGATCAGAAGAAAACTCCCATTGTCGCCTGTGACGAATGAATATGAAATGTTGCATTGACAACTCAACTGTTGCCAACATGTTTCTATTTTAATAAAAGCGGTGAACAGATGTCTGAAGTTTTATCCACCGCACATAATTTATTCAGAAACATATTCAACACATATTGTTAGTTTTATCGCTTGGCTCGGCAGCGGCCAGTATGGGAGTGGTGAGTAGTAGTGTTGTTTGTTGTACAAAGCGAACAGGCGCTGAGTCAGTCCTATTATAATTAGAAGCCAGGGGTGTAGACTATGCTGAATCAACATATGGGGTGCTGGTGGTAGAGTGGTACCGCTCTTGCCTTCGCAAGCGAGATGTCACGGGTTCGATTCCCGGGCCGGTGGAAGTTGTTTGGACACACTTCCTAGCCCCCATTAGTCCCTGTTCACCTAGCAGTAAAGTAGGTACCTGGTGTAAATCGAAAGTTGCGAATTCGTATTCAGGGACAAGTTGTTGGAGCTTCCAATAACTTGATGACACAAACCATTGACTCTTCAGGCTTCTATGCCCTTGACTCTTCAGGCTTCTACGCCCTTAACTCATGAGACATAAAGGCAAGCATGAACTTAGCATGCTTCCTGTTGGGCGCTGTAAACGCTTCTGCGCTTCACCTTACACAAGGATGGGGGTGCCCAATGAATAATAAAAAAAAAAAATCAACAAATGAGATAAACTCGCCACGAAACAAACTGTATCGAGTTGACGTGGCAGGTTAATATCATTACAGGGCGATTGCAGTTAACTTCATAATGGTTTAAAAAATAAAATGCTTCAATGACAACAGATTGAAAAACGGAATTTGTTGTGCTTAGAAAAGTCATATTTTCATTTACAGTTCACCATCCTTACACAACCCTACGTGATATGCACCTCGGATACTGAAACACTGAGACAGATTGCAAGCAACAAGCACATGTGAATAAAGAATCACTGTAGTTAGCTTCAAACCTCCTCTGCATAATACAGCAGACGAGGAAAATAATAGATATAAGCTTAAGCTTCAAGTGAGTGTTAATAGTTCATCATTCACGGATTACTGTAGGTAGAGGAGCACCTGCCTCCACTTCCCTCCCTGCTGTCCCTCCTCCCACCCTACATTCCCTTTACTTCACCTCACCTCGTTATACCACCGTCCACTAGGCAAAAGATACGATCTAATAATAGTCTATTTAATACATTTCTTATTAAACATATAAACATTCCTCAAATCTTTACATTGATATATTTGTTTTAACATTTTTTAATTTCATTCCATTGTATGTTTGCTGTTGCGAGTTTCCTATAACCATATACAACGCTGCCACACTGCGCAAAAGCTGACGAGACCCTGTAAACGCACTAGTGAAGGGGACTCTATATACTTATATACTTATTTGAACAACTTTTCTAAAAAAACTGAATATAATTAAGAACAAATTAAGGTCCTATATTACTGATGTCCACCTACTAAACACCCTTCGTGTTGCTACGTCATCCATCCAGCCAGACATTGCAGACATAGTGCAGCAAGTACAGAGTCACCCATCCCATTAATAACTCAAGCCATAGTCAACAAACAAAGTAAATGAGAATTTTGTCTTTTTGGATTTAAATTTGTTATTAATTTTGAATATTAAAATAATCATATGATATTATTGTGGCCGTCCGTGCAAAAAGTTTGCACGCCTCTGCAACAACTACTCGTGTGGGGGAATTGAAGATCAGTTTCTTTCTTGGTGCTGTTGCTGTGAGATCATCTGGGTAAATACTGCCTGAATGCCTGGTGATTCTCCCTTACTCTGTTCATCATAAATGTGAAAGAGTCCACCTGACACCCAAAATCTGTTACTGGAGTATGTCCCTAAACGTTTATCAACCCTTCCCCGAATATGACTTCTCGATTCCCTCTCCCCCCATGAAAAACACTTTGAATAGCCTTTTTTTTTATCGGAGGGAGGAGGAGGAGGAGGAAGTAAGCGCTTGACACCTCGCATGAATTCACCTCCCTCATCCATTAAGCTTAATGCATTGCAAATCTTCCTAATGTGATAACTGGACGAGATAGTTTGTGTATCAGCAATGTTACGGATCACAGCTGGTAAAATGTGTGATCTGGAACTACTTATCCTGTCTAGATAGTTGTGAAGGTCATCTCAACTACTCAACCTAAACCTAAGATGGCTGATGTAAAATTTATGAACAAGTAAATGGAAATTAATATTAAACATTGCTTAGTTGTTGTCTATTACAATACTCAGTGAGTCTCGTATTGACGGACCGATGATGGTAATGGTTACAGTAGCGCGGAGAATGTATCGTGCATTGGAGTTGTTCCTGTTCTTGCTTATAACAATTGGAATCGTATATGGTACAACGTTGACGAGGTAAGTGTCAACATATTGGCAAGATAGATATCTGACTTCCCATAATAGACCACTCGCTTCACATGTGACCTCTCTCTGATCCGCTAAATTTATCCTCAAGAAAGGTCAATTACTTTCAAGCCATAAACACTTTAATGAGTTAATGTCCCCAGAATTGATCATCAGCCTCAACGATAGAACATTTATCTAACATCTGACCTTCAACTAACCCCCAAAATATATAGATAGAGTATTCAACCGACTCTTTGACTACTCTTAACACCACTAAACCCTCAACAGATCAACGCCTCCACAATCCTGCGACAACCAGAGATGCACCACACACCTCACAACACACCCACAACAGATTTCTCAAGTGACTGCCTCGCCTTTCGGATGTCATTTGAGCCATCTCTGTCACTGATTTCCTTTGACCTGACCTCTTCTTCTTCCCACAGGTCAGATCCAGCAGCCAGTGAAACAGGGTCCTGGGCTGAGTGCGGCTCCCGTCACCACCTCCGTCAGCAATGGCCTCCTGATGGTGCTGCTGATGTGCCTCGCCTGTGTCAAGTGTCGCATGTTCGCCTGAGAGTCGCCATCACCACCACCACCCGAGGACCTCACCTTCAGCAGGATGTGTGAGGTCGACGGCGTGTGCTTAGGTCCTCCTGATGGCGACCGCACACCGAGGAACCGAACGGAAATGGTGAAAAATACGGAAATTTGTGAGTGAGGAACCAGGAGGATTTCGTGAGAAAAAAAGAAGGAAATTTGGGAGTGAAGAAATAAAGCAGAAATGTTGTAAGAATGTGGGGAATCATGTGAGTGGCGATCCTCTGACGGAAACACGAAATCGAGCTGGAACACTTGCATGTGGAGTGTGGTTGGTACTTGGATTTCATAAATGCTAATAGCGACATTTTGATTGCAGGATCCTAATAGAATATATAGAGGATTAGATTTATTGTTTTTTTATACACGTATAAGCATCAAAGTGCATGTTGGTGGATGCCGGTAATTTCAGACATTTTGGAGGAGGAGATGGAGACAGCGGAACGTGGATAGTTTGTCCACTGTGAGAGATGACGTTCGTGGTTGACATGCTTTGCTATCAGTCACCCCTTACCTTGTTCGCAATTTTCTGTCACTTAAAATGAAAGGTCAAAATCTTGTATATTTCTAAGCTTTCGAGCAATGAGACATAGAAAGGAGTACACAAAACCTGGTGGTATATTTTTATGATGTAAATACTGTGTTGGTGAGCCATGGTGCAGTGGGGTCGTGGCCGACAGTTCAAGCAGAGGTTCCTCCCTCCACACGACGCCCACACAGTGTCGGGGTCTCGTGTGCGCGTACCTTTTCGTTTACACTTACAGTACATCTCTCGGGTTTATTATGATCATTCTTGCATGTTTTGCGTTTGTGTTTCCAAGCGGTTATGACCAGATACGTCCGGGGCTCTGTGGCTCCCTGGTGAGTTAGTAATTTACAGTAAGATTCTAGTATACGGGGGAAGAGATTATAGAAGGTTCTCTTGCAGTTATAACTGTTTTTAGGACTTATACTCATCTCCTGGATGCTCAAAACTAACCCCGCGAAGCCCCTTGTGTTGCATCTGGTCCAGGAAGTTATAAAGTGTAACTTGATTTTTTACATTTTTTTTAATGGTTCCAGGAACAGGTCCTCTACTTGGTTTTGAAGAGGTTTATGGGTGAGGATAATTTACTGTTTCTTTGTTGTATTTACCCTCAGATCGGTTACAAACAAATAGATCAACAAGTCAATTTATGACAACCATGACACAGACACATATATATATATATATATATATATATATATATATATATATATATATATATATATATATATATATATATATATATATATATATATATATATATATATATATATATATATATATATATAACTTTCATCCTAAACTTTTCGTATAAAATAAAAAATAAAATATAAAATATGTATAGATGTATAGTTTACGCCTTAGCTATACGAAATAAATAAATAATCCAGATGGATGATTTAAATGTTCAATACTTTGGTGAGTGACAGTAGTCAGGTTTTGTTGACATGCTCGTCCAGGAAGGCATGTTGTTCATAGGTTCATCAATACTCCGAAGGGGATCATGTTCACACACTTCTCACAAGCTAGTGGAGCCTCACTGAACAATGCAATGTACAGTACACATCAGCTCCTCTTGTGCTAGCTAATCAACGCATTGTCAGTATTGAGTCAAAATCTGTTTACAAGTTATAATCAGAGATCACAGGTAGTGGTAGTACTTATCTTCATCCTCTACCTGGCAGAGTGGTAGATGTGATCCTTCTTTGTTTACATCCAAAACGTCCATTTGTGTTTACATATGTGACGTCATCGTCTGTTCACATCCATAAAGTCATCAAGTGTTGGCATTTAATGTCATCTTTTGTTGTATTATATTATATTATATTATGCTCAGTGAATCACGTTATTGTTGTCTGGCATAATGTTCTCCTAGTAGCGAAGATTATGTCAACTTATTTCAACATGTCTTAAATATTAATTAATATATACATCAATCATAATAGTAGCTTAATACTATTGTTTTTGTTAAGTACAAAATTATATTTTCAAATTTGATAATTGATGATTATAAATATATTTTGCACTGAACATTTAGCTTTCTTTTGTCTACATTCAGGTAATAGTTAAGTTTTACACAAACAACCTCCTTCGTTGCCGAGGCTCACCTTCCTTCAGTTGTCTTCAGGAAGAACCAGTAGTGTACAGTACAGGCTGCTGCCACTAGGACAGGAGGTACTGTATCATGTCCGAGTCTTCGCAGGTTCATGCGTAAATGTTTCACCTTAAAGGATGTGAGAACCCGTGCAGTTGGCTCACTTAAGTTACGAGACAAATATGATTCTCAAAGCCTCGTACGGTAAATTTTCCTCCTAACTGAAGATGGAAAACACATCCATCTGGTCCACTTTCTACGACACAAATATGTCGATCAACATGGCGTCGAAATTATTCCGAAACTCTTCCTTCTTAAGTAGAGATATCTTATACACAATATGGAGAAGAATACCAACATAGGAGCCTTAGTAAGTCTTCTTCTTCCTAAAACTTAAGACAAAGATATAATTACGCTGGAAGGTCTCTGTTACTTCCTGTAAGGAATTTTTTTAATTATAATCACTGACTGTGAACTATAAAATGCTGGAATGGTATTCAGGAGGAATAATGCTCACTGACTACTCGTGCTGGTCACAATCCAGACCTTGAGTTTGTTTACGTCCGTGACGTCATCCTGTGTTGACATTTCTGGCACCGTTTATTACTCACAGCATGACTTCATCCTTTATAAAAAAAATGGTGCGTCGAAATGGACTGTTATCAGTGACGTCACCTTTTGTTTACACCCACGACGTTATCCTGTCAGACTGAGGTGACGAATGTGTCTAATCTTTGGATTAGTTATGTCATCATCATGAAGGCTCAAGATACACAATAATAAACAACATCTAGTACAGCACCTGTCCTTGCCCCTTTATATTTTCTATGGTAAGTGATACGTATCGTCTATTATAACCCGGATCTTAAGTTCTCTTAACAACTTAAAGTAGATTGTTTCTAGTCGAGTTTTGGGAGTAGTTTCGACGCCATCTTGAATTTAATGTTCATGTCATATCTTAAGTCAATAAAGTATATGCTATATGTACTTATGTTCTCTATAGTTATGTGAGGAAAAAATTATCGTACGAATGTTATGAATCCAAATACTGATTTTTGTAGTTCTTGTGACGTCTGGTGATTGAGGCAGGAACGGCGGTAGTGGTTTTGGTGGTAGTAGTGGTGGTAATACAGGTGTTTGTGGCAGCAGTGGTGGCAGAAGGCACAGGAGATGAAGATCGGTTGAGGTGTTGTGTGGTGAAAAGAAAAGGTGGTGTCACTGGTTGTTGGTTGGAAGGCTGTGGCTCCTGGAAACTGCTGTCTTGTGGATTAAACGGACAGGGCTAGAGTAAGGCGGTCATAAGTAAGACGATCACCGAGTAAGGAGTAAGGAGATCGCAGGAGTAAGGAGATCGCAGGAATAAGGTGACCGCAGGAGTAAGGTGGCCGCAGGAGTATGGTGGTCTCCTACGTAACTGCCACATCTTCACCATCTGGTTGTTTCTTGTGCAGACAGCTCAGGCGGAGGTCCCCGGAGATCATTCAGAATCAGATAGACAACAGGCAGCACTGGCTATCTATGGTCATTGGTACTTCAGCCGTGTCTATATAAACAGCTCTGGCCGAGGTTTCTAGACAACCTCAATCTTTTAGAGGCGACTCACGGCTGGATTATTATTGAAGTACAGAGAGGGAGCCCCGCATCGCCCAGTCTCTGAGCGATCACCGCGCCTCAGTTGATTATTGTAAATAGTTAGTCATTCAGCAGCTGAAAGTTAATGTAATGGGGTCATTCATCAGCTGATATTTCCTGTAATTGAATGATTAAACAGCTGGAGATACAGTATTCGGGTAAAATGTTTAAGTACAGTATTTGTTTTATTGTCCTGCTGATACTGATTGTAATTGGTTCATGCAACAGCTGAAGATAGTTGTTTTCAGTTTACGCTTTCTGTCATTTAATCATATACCTGTATTTTACATCTGAACACTACAGCTGTATTCTGAGTAATTCGATACAGCTGTTTTGTAAATATAGAAAAAATAATGAAATCTTGTAAGCTAAAGACAATACTTACACAGTGTTCAGGTGGTGTCCAGGTATTTTGTTCAGCTGCAGTGTGTCCAAACATGCCATGATCAGGTAGAGTAGAGGTATTGTACAGTGCTCGGGTTTAATGTACACATACAATGTTCACATACTACGTTCATTAACAAGGTTCAGGTACAGTGTTGAACTAAGTTACAGTGTTACAGTACAATGTTCAGGTACAGTCTAAGATGTGTGTAGGGGTGGATTGAAGGCTCATCCCCCATTATGGCCGCCACCAGGAGCAGAGGCGCGCGGGGCTCCAAACGACTACAAGCTTAGACCTTTTATAAATGTCACGTATGATATTCACTTCTTGTAATAAATATTTTTGTAAATGGTTGTTTTATTCCCGAAGTTCCCCATTTATGATTATTGAGAGAGCCTTTCCACACTATCCTATTCAGAAAATACACCTACAAGATGTTATGCATTTATGTTGTGTTAACGAGTGATTCTTTTAAGTTCCGCCCATTCTTGACGTCCTTAGTAACTATTATAATTCGTAATTGTTGATTGGCTAAGTGAGTGACGAAAAGACTCACTTCTTAACAAACAACTAATCAACTACTGTGAATGGCAATATCTGGATGAACGTCACAAATACACACATAATGAAAAAAACGTGATCATTGACTCCATCTGAGCAGTGAGGTGAGAAGACGCATTTCGCAGTTACTCCCGACCCACGTGCTTCTACCTGCTTACGTCGGCGCCTGGCCAGACTTATTGTCGCCACACACGCCACTCTCACTTTGACGTGGATATCTCGTCTCTGTTGAATTGACTTGCTTGTTTCTGTGTTTTATGCTCACATTTTTTTAGTGCCCTCACCGATTCTCCCAGTATTAACGAACCCTGCGGGAACTGTCGTTAGGACAGGCCACAAAGGGGCCCCTTAGAGGGGTGCGAGTTGGGCCGGTGAGTTTAGCTGATAGGATAGAGTAGGCTCCTCCTTTTGGGGGTCCTGTTGCAAAACCAGAGCCACCAACCTACGACCCCCGTTGAGGGGGGTGGCTACGGCACTGGTCCTAGGGCAACAAGGAACTAGGTAGGTGTAGTGAGCCTTCATTGTCAATTTATTAATATAAAGACGAGCGAGAGAGACGTAACCGATGGAAGGAAAATGCTACAAGAGGCCTCGGAAGGAAAACAACATTTCCGACATAGACAATATGTCCCCAGCATTCCAACCCGTGGAAAAACCACCCACCTTCGCGATTCCGACTGTGATGAAGTACAAGATTCCCAAAGAAACCGAATTCAACCATGCATACGAGGTAGTGGCAGCACTGGAACTAGAATACAAGAACATCAAGTTCAGTGTGAAGCCCAATCTAGTTGGAGACCTGATACTCTCCCCCGAAGACCACAACACAGCCAAGATCCTCAGC